AAAAGGAGGAGACGATTTGAATTGAAGGAATACGATATGAATTGAGGGGGAGAATGTGTAAGAATTGAGGGAGAGACAGATGATATTAAGGGGGAGAGTGTATAAATTGAGGGGGCAAAAAAGTAAAAGCTGAGGGGGAGAACTTTTTGTATGGGTGTTTGATTAACATATGCCAAAGGGGGAGATTGTTAGTACTAAATAAATAAATATATATATATATATATATATATATATATATATATATATATATATATATATATATATATATATTGTATTTACTAGTATATATGTATTGGCATATGTTAAACATACAAATAGATTAATGCATGCCTGTAAATTAAATAAATGGTAATTAATGCATTATGCAAATTAAGTGGTGAAATGTGTGTGTGATATGCAAAGAGAGATTTAAGGAATGTGAGTGATTAGTGTATGAAATGTGAAGAAAATTGAGTGGCGTACAAACACATGAAAGCATCAAAATTTGGAGTGGTGTTGTACGTGGATGCGAACATGCGTATAAGGCATGAAATTAGGAAATTAACTTGCCTAATTTCATGGTGACCTTTACTATAAATTCGGATTCATGTAATAGAAAAAATTGAAGTTTCCAAAAATAGAAGAAGAGCAGTATCATTCAGAAAGGTGCTACAAATGAGTATTTGAAAGACGCTACAAGGGAACTTCAAAACAGGGAAGGATTGGTGTACTATCCGGAGAGTCTAGCTGCACTTTATTCAGTACAAGTTGTGTTAAAATTTAGGTTGGTTACAGTTTGTTTAATTGGTAGAATTAGTTCAAACTGTATTGTATACTTTTTCATAGAGTTGTTTTTATAAGGTCAATGTATAAATAGGTGATAGACCTAGTTTTATAATTCATTGAGCCTTGTAATTTAGTGAAAAGGTTTTTGGGCGTGGACCCGCAGATTAGGAGGTGTTCTCCAACTGCGTTAAAAAATTCAGCTGTGTACTTATTTTGGCGCTTCATTTATTTTTAGATATTGCGTTAAATATCTGCATTACATATTTTCAATAATAATAATAATAATAATAATAATAATAATAATAATAATAATAATAACAATAATAAAATAATAATAATACGAAAAAGGATATTATTTTTCCTGGAAAATCTGGAAATTTTTGGGAAAAGACAACCACAGGGACGAAGGGATAATTGGGTAGGTTTTTAGTACGAGTCAAATTGCATTCTCTCTTTCAAATCTTATTTATCGCCTCCAAAAAGTATTAGGAGCGTTGCAGCCTAGGTTTCCCAGGATAAAACGTACTACGGTTCTAAGTTTTGAGCACACAAACTTAGAACTCAACGAACAAGAACGTGGGATGAACACAGGAGGTTAAGAACGAAGGAGAAACAAAGTTTCGAGAGAGAAAAATCTGATTTCTGTTGTGTGTAAAATCTGCTGTTAAACAACAACTTATATATTAGTTGAAGGATTAAATAATATTTAATTCATGGCATTCAAACTGATAATAATTAATTCTGTAAGTCCCAGAAAACAACTTATATATGAGTTGAAGGATTAAATAACATTTAATTCATGACATTCAAACTGATAGTAATTAATTCTGTAATTCCTACGAGACAAGAGGTTAACCATTCTGCCAAACTCGAGTCGACTGAATGGCGAGCCGAGCCGAGCCAACGGATTGTTAGCCCCGAGCCATTAGCCGAATCGTTAGCTTACCATTCTGGAAGTTTGGCATAACATACCTAGGCTCATTTTGTGATAGAGAACCTTTATGCTATATAATTCAATAACCCCTAGAAAGGCTCTGTATAAATAGTGGTGCAAACCCAATTCTCAAACCAATGTGGAAGAAAGGCTATTTTAAAGTCTTTCCCCTTCATTTTTCCAACTCAAATGGGTCTACTTTGAGAATCAATTTCTCATTCACCCATTATCTGTTTTGAGCGTACAATATGTCAATCTCTTTGTCTCACTATGAAGAACCCGAATTCATTTTGACCCGACCCAAATCGAAAGTGAAAACCCCACTAATATTTGTACTACAAAATAGTCAATTAAAATGTCATTTTATGCTATTTTTTCCAACATATAATTCATGAACAAATTCAATATTAAATTATAGAGCCAGTAGCATTCAAAAAAAAAAAATAATAGTAAAGAGTAATATTAGGTACTTATGTACTCCTAAAAACTTCCCTCCCAATTTTCTCTTCTGGTGTGTCACAATTTAATTGGATTATTTATAATTTATTAATTAAAAGTGTTTGGGGTCAGCCAATTAATGACACTCAATGAATATAAGCAACATCATGGAGGGAAAGTGTTACAAAAATTTTAGAAGGGGTAAATATCATTTTCCAATAATAAAATTGCACATTTAAAAGCTTTCCTTACGTGAAAAATATGGTTTAATCTCATCCATTGATCCAGTCCAGGTCAATGGCCCATAATGAAGCTATTTAAAAAAAAAATGCAGTGGCATTATGGTAATTTTGTGTAAGTTAATTTCTTTTTATATCTTTCAGAACATTTTTCCTTTCTTGCAGAATACAATGTTGTACCCTTCTGAGCATAATGTTGTGCCTTCCAGAGCACACTGATGTACCTTTCAGATCACAATGATGTGTCCTCCAGTGCACATTGTTGACCTTCCAAAGCACATTATTGGTCTTCCAGAGCACATTGTTGAGCCTTCCAGAGCATATTGTTGTGCTTTCCAGAGCACATTGTTGATCTTTCCAGAGTACATTGTTGAGCCTTCCAAAGCACATTGTTGATCTTTCCAGAGTACATTGTTGAGCCTTCCAAAGCACATTGTTGTACCTTCGAAGTGCACATTGTTTTGCCTTGGAGTGCACATTGTTGAGCCTTCCAGAGCATATGTTTGTGCTTTCCAATAGACAATTTTGTGTCTTTCATGATTTGAACAAAATGCAAAGACAATAGACCAGAGATGGTTTACTGGAGAAGATGGCATCATGACGTCGTGTAGATTAGAAGCGTTTTTTTTTTTTTTTTTTTTTTTTTTTTTTTTTTTTTTTTTTTAAAGCTGTTGATCTGGACATATCAAAGGCTCAGATTTCTCCTCACTTGCACACTTTATGACTTCTTCGCACCAGAGCCTAATATATATATATATATATGTGTGTGTGTGTGTGTGTGTGTGTGTGTGTGTGTGTGTGTGTGTGTTCAAATGTGGTTGGTGTGCCCATGTGTGGTTGTGCGGTTAAATCTGAGCCATTGATCTTACTTAAATCAACATCCAAGATTACCAAAAATTTTTTAAAAATAACGTAGATAGAAATGATAAGAGAACCCCAACAATTTCTTTGTTTTCAACGCCTCCTAATTTCCGGCGATGAAAATTTGGTAATTTTTGCATCTAGGTCAAATTTAAGATGCGTGATTTTTGTGCTTAAGGTGCATGGGTTTTGTGCTTAAGGTGCGTGGTTTGTGTGCTTAATGTGAGTATTTGTTGAAACTTAAGGTGCGTGGTTTTTGTGCTTAAGGTGTGTGAGTTGTGTGCTTAATGTGAGTATTTGTTGAAACTTAAGGTGCGTGGTTTTTGTGCTTAATGTGCGTCAATTGTGTGAAACTTAAGGTGAGCCGTTAAAACCTTAGGTGCGTGGTTTGTGTTCTTAAGGTGCTTTGTTGTGTTCTTAAGGTGCGTGGTTTGTGTACTTAAGGTGCTTTGTTTGTGTGCTTAAGGTGCGTGATTTGTGTACTTAAGGTGCGTCATTTTAACGCGCGTGTGTGTGTGATATTTTTAAAGAGTTTATTGAGTCCAATTGTGATTTTATCAGTAAGAGACAAACATATAACCATTTTTAAATAGAAAAATCACAATAATGGTTGTGATTTTATTCATTTAGAATAAAGGATTAAAAAGAAGTTGTATTTGCTCTTTCTTTTTTTTTTTTTTTTTTTTTTTTTTTTTTTTTTTTTTTTTGAGATAAAAGCTTAATTCATTAAATCAGTAATAATAAGACAGTTCACAAGAAAAGGGAGAGGGGTATCAAACTGCTCTCCGCAAAAAAGAAGTTGTATTTGTATACACCAAAAAATCGGTTACCCTCATTAGTGACGAGTTACCTTGCTTATATGCATGGCATAAATTTTGAAATATTTTTAATATAAGAAATTTTTAAAATAACAATCCAAAAAAGAGACAACAAAACTAGTTACCTTCTACTGGAGACCTTCAACCTCACCAGGAATTGAATGTCTCAATCTGAGAATGATGGTCTCCATTTATAGACAAAACATTCATCTCCAGATGAAGAAGAAATATGTCACTTATTTTATTATTTTTTGAGTTGAAGACAACTGTCATGGTTACTTTTATACTTTTGTCTGATCTTCTATGGATCTAGAGATGAAGGTCTCTCCATAACTAACTTTGATGCCTCCATTTTTTTTTAGGGTTGAAGGCAATTGTCATGCTTGCCTTCATATAGTTCATTCCCAATTTCGCCTTTAGATTAATATCATCAATCTCTAGTTGAAATTAACAATATTTGTTCATGTTGGGCGTAAGCTAAAAATAAAGTCATAAATTTACTATCATTAATTAACTAGACTATATCACGTCCCATGATGATGTGCAGTAGTTGATAACAACCAAATGAAGAACGCACAAAGAGCAATGGGCATTTGGTGAAGTTACAGGGAAAGACCATAATTTGAATGTGGTTGATGAAGTGATAAGTCTGTGAATTGAATTCTCAACAGTAAAGTTACATCAGAAATAGGAGTCCTAAACTATGCCTACATAACTGGTTATTAGTTATAGACTAAATCCTATACAATAGTTACAACAATTAATATAACAATAATACTAATAATATTAACATCACTAACACACCCCCTCAAGATCAAGGTGGTAAGGGGACAACATTGAGCTTGGTCCGCAGAGGTCCAAACCGTGCTAGGGGTAACGGTTTTGTGAAGATGTCCGCGAGTTGATCCTTGGTAGACACAAAGTTGACCAAAAAATCACCCGGTGCTACTTTGTCCCGGCAAAGTGATAGTCAATTTCCACGTGCTTGGTGCGGGCATGGAAAACTGGATTGGCACATAAGTAGGTAGCCCTCAGGTTATCGCACCATAGCGTTGCAGGAGTCCCAGAATGCAGCGCCAGCTCTTGAAGTAGAGATACAACCCAAGTGACCTCAGCAGCAACATCAGCTAACCCCTTGTACTCGCTCTCTGTGGATGAACGGGCCACGATCCGCTGTTTACGGGAGACCCAAGAAACCAAATTCGAGCCAAGAAAGACTGCATAACCACCGGTAGATTTGTGATCAACTGGGCAGCCAGCCCAGTCAGAATCAGAGTACGCATGGATTTCAGTAGAGTTTGACCGCGTGATTTGTAGACCATATGTGAGAGTGGCTTTGACGTATCGAATGACAAGTTTCAAGAGACCCCAGTGCACAGTAGTAGGAGCATGCATGAACTGGCACAACCGGTTCACAGCATAAGAGAGATCTGGTTGGGTGATGGTCAAGTACTGCAGGCCCGGGCAAGACGACGGTACGGTATTGCGTGGGATTCTCGAATGGTTCAGTTGAGGGTGTCGCAACTTTCGTCAAAGACGTTGGAGTAGATAGGGGTTTGCAAACGGTCATACCTGCCCGATTCAAGATGTCGGCCATGTAGCACTGCTGTGAGAGTAGCAACCCATCACCAACTGTCACAGTCTCGATGCCAAGAAAAAAACTAGGTGATCCGAGATCCCGAATTTTGAAGGCAGTAGCAAGTCAAAGAAGCAATCTGTTGAGCAAGGCAGTGTCATTACCCATCATGATGATATCATCTACGTATACCAGTAAAAACACCCGTGAAGCCCCAGTGGAGTGATGAAATAGGGATACATCGGTCTTGGACGCCAGAAAACCCGCAGTAAATAAGTAATCATGTAGGCGTTTGAACCACGCACGTGGTGCTTGCTTCAAGCCATAGAGGGACCGTTGCAAGTGGCACACGTGATCAGGATGTGCTAGATCCTCATAGCTTGGTGGTTTCCGCATGTACACGGTTTCAGCCAGGTTCTTGTTTAAAAAGGCGTTGTGTACGTCAAGTTGACAGAGCGTCCAACCGTTGGAAACTGCAAGAGACAAAAGTAACCGGACCGTAGTCGGCTTGACTACGGGATGTAAGTGTCGAAGAAGTCCTCACCAGCCACCTGATTGAACCCTTTGGCTACTAGGCGCGCTTTATAGCGCTCAATTGAACCATCGGCTTTGCGCTTGGTTCGATACACCCACTTGCAGCCAATGATATTCATACCCGGCTTGGCTGGGGTAAGCTGCCAAGTGTCGTTGTGTAATAGGGCGTTGAACTCCTGGTCCATGGCATCACGCTACTGTGGGTAAGCTACTGCCAGGGAATAACATGTAGGATCAACCATGGTGGTTAGAGCATGGAATTGTTCATTTGTACCTCGTGTCATGTGTCGCAGTCTCATGACATGCGCACGGTCGGTTGGCTGAGTAGGCGCATTATGCCATCTTGTTGTGGGTACTTCTGTTGGTCCAAGTAGAGCTAGAAGCGGTGTTGGAGCCACGGGTTCAGGATTGACCGGGCCGACAACCGCATTAACGGCCCGGAACCCCAAGGTGAAGTAGCCGTAGGTATAGGAGTTATAGCCTGCGATGACGGTTTAGCTGCAAAAGGGAACACAGTCTTGTCAAATCTCACGTAACGACAGATAAAGGTATTTCCCGTGTGTAAATCCATACATCGGTAACCCCTAAAGGACTTGGGATATCCTAGGAATACACAGGGTGACGAGCGGTACTCTATCTTATGCCGATTATAGGGCCTAAGATAAGGGTAGCAACGACACCCGAAGACACATAAGAAAGTGTATGGCGGAGGTGTTTTGTGGAGATGCTCATATGGACTACTGTTTTACAAAACAGACGTGGGCATGCAATTTATAAGAAACGTGACAAACTCAAAGACGGAATCCCAATGTTGGTGGGGTACAGAGCCCTCTGCGAGTAGAGTTAGCCCGGTTTCGACAACATGTCTATTCCAGCGCTTAACTCGCCCGTTTTGCTCGTGGGTATAGGCACAAGACTGCCTATGCACAATCCCGAGAGACTCAAAAATAGTGTGAAGACGGCGATATTCACCACCTAGATCAGACTGGATGGTTTTTATAGAACGCGAAAAACGACGTTCAACCATCACACGAAACAATTGAAAAACTTTATAAATATCTGATTTTAACCGTAAGGGGTAAAACCAGCAAAACCGTGAGTGGTCGTCCACAAATAATACAAAGTAGCGAAACCCGTTCGTTGAAATAACGGGCGCGGGGCCCCAAATGTGTATATACAAAAGATCTAGAACATCACTACTACTAGATTGAACCCTATCTAATGGAAAACGCGCTGACTTGCCAAGTTGACACGCGGAGCACAACCCGGAGTGACTTGGCTTATTTGACGTGACCGGAACATTTTTGAGAACCTGCTGGAGAACACACGTGTGGGGATGCCCCAACCTGCAATGCCAGATACTAGATGATGTGCGGGCACTTATGAACGCAAGATGTGCCTGGGGAACTGACAATTGGTACAAACCGCCTGAACTGGGACCTTTAAGGAGTAGCGTTTTGGTAATTGAGTCCTTCACAATAAAAGAATCATGGTGAAATTAAAAAAACAACACACCATTATCACGTGTAAACCGATTAACAGATAAAAGCGGTATAGATAATTGAGGGACATGCAATATATTTGACAATTGTAGGTTTCTAGACACGGAAGGAAACGATGTATGGCTTACATAAGAAATTCCCAAACCTGTATCGTTGCCGACCCGTAAGACATCGCCACTACCGTAGGGCTCGGACTGAGTTATCATAGAGGCGTCCGGAGTCACGTGAGATGAAACCCCGGTGTCCGGGAACCACGTATCACCACCTGCGACTTCCGCTTCATCACCGGCGACCACCATGTTTGCCTGGGCCGGCGGCTTATCAGTGTAGCGTTTGAAACAATAGACCACGGTGTGGCCGTGAGACGTGCATATCTGACATCGGGGGTTGCCACCACGGCCACGGCCCTGGCCACCGCGTCCTCGGCCACCGTTGTGACTGCGGTTCTGGCCGCCTTGCTGTCTGGATCCGTAACCCCCACTGGGATTCTGGCCACCTTGCTGCCTGGAACCGTAACCCCCACTGGATTCTGGCCACCTTGCTGCCTGGAACCGTAGCCACCATCGTGGTTCTGCATACGGCCACATGCGGCGACCATCACCATTGGAGAACCATTCGCCGGGAAATCGTCGGCGTAAATAAACTCTCGGGCCTGGAGAAAATCAGATAACTGGGGAATAGTCACTGGAGTACCTGCGACGGCAAGGGAGGCGGCCATGGCGCGGAACTCTGGGTGAAGGCCTCTGAACATGTAGAGGTTCTGCTCGTCTAGACTCATTGGACGGCCAGCTAGTTCGAGGTCCTCCACAATCAATTATGCCCGGCCGAGGTAGTCCGTCGGCGAGCTGTCACCCTGTCGGAGAGTCTGCAATTGCCCGAGGAGAGTCAAGCAGCGTGCACGAGTGGATGAGCCCAATGCCGCTGTCACGGAGAGCCAAACCGCGCGGGATGTTTTGCGCCCGACGGCGAGATGCATTACCTCTTCGGAGAAAGACGAGATAAGGAGGGAGAGTATGGACTGGTCCTGGTGGACCTAGAAGGTGTACGCCGGATTTGGCGAGGTCGTGGACGCTGTTCCGCCGGAACCGTTGTCGCTGGTGGTGGGGAGGACCGTCGGTGAACACGGCAGCTCGCCGTCGACGTACCCAAGCAGCCCCTGGCCGCGGAGGAAAGGTATCAACTGCGTTCGCCAGAAGAGAAAGTTCTTCGACGTCAGTTTCAACGACACTAGGTGGTGTGCCGCCGATAGAGACGTCAGAGTGGCCGGAGAAGCAGTAGTGGCAACGGTGACGGTGCATTCCCTGAAATTGGTCGACATTTTGGGAGAGAGAAAGTACCTATCGCTAACTGATACCAGATGAAGTGATAAGTTTGTGAATTAAATTCTCAACAATAAAGTTACATCAGAAATAAGAGTCTTAAACCATGCCTACATAACAGGCTATTAGTTATAGACTAAATCCTATACAATAGTTACAACAATTAGTATAACAATAATACTAATAATATTAACATCACTAACAGGGTTAGGCTAGTTGAAAAGAGAAACCATTTGAAACTAAACAAATATAAAATATTCAATTAAAAGAAATTTTTTAAAAAATAAATAAATAAAAAGAAGAAGAAAATGTATGTTGTGAGCTGGGGTGGGGCTAAGTTAGGTTAGAAATCATAATTGCTTGAAGAATGCGATTGAAAGACTTGCATCACTTCACATTATCCACAGTAACGTTGACTCGATCTCTTCTTAATTAGCTTACCCCAAGCTGTGTGCAGCAAAGCAAATCACTCAAAACCCGTGGTTGAATCAGTGAAATATAATTCTCCTAATAGAATGTTATAAATTTAATTTTAGTTAATACTCTTTTGATTAAATTTTTACACAAATTATTCATAATGTACTCTACCTTTCTTTTAGGGAAAGAGTTTATTTAATACACACCATCAGATAATAACTGTTAATTTTTCCTGTATGTTATCTAAAAAAAGGAAAAAAAGAAAAGCAATTGGAGATCACCACCGGTGTGACTAGCTTCCATATGATCCCTTCAGAAATTGCGGATCGGAGACTCCTACAGGGACGCCCCCACTTGTGCATGCATCACCGCCTAATTATTTGCATTTACACATATACATACATACATATATGCTTTTACTTCAATTGCAGTCCACATAATAAATAATATATAGTTTAAATATTTTCTTTAAAAAAAACCTCCATATATATATATATATATATATATATATATATATATATATATATATATTGAAAAGAAACATCAAAACATATATTAAATCAAATCCCCAAAACAGAAATGAGGAGAAGAAAACAACTCCCCAAAGACGTCCTCGACAGAGGATGAACCAATTGCTTGTGCAAGCACATGAGTTTCATGATTCGCTGATCTTTTAACATAGTGAACCAACACATTCCTAATGTCACAAGCATCCAAACATGATTCGCAATACATGATTCATTGACCTTTTTCATTTTATATATTTACACTTCAATTGTGGGTAAGTTTTTAATATGGAAAATAGTCGAATAAAAAAGGAATTGAACATGTTCAAATAAGAACTCAAACTGAAAAGTAAATTGCATTCTCAAATGACAAAAAACTGTATATTAAATTATTAATACTCAAATTCTTTTAAAAATATAACTAAGACCATTTTACATGTAAATTATATGTTATTGTAGGATATACTGATGTAGTGATGTAGCTTTTCACGTGTAATCTTCTTTAATTTGTATACATGGATGTTGCATATATTGTTTTAAT